ACACAAATAACTTTACATTTCCAATCCCCTTCTTGGAATATTTCTCTATTGCCAACACTTTTACTTCAAAACCAAATCAGTGGTAAACATTTAGTGTATGGAAGAGAGGTGACCCCCACCAGAGAGAGAGAGAGAGAGAGAGAGAGAGAGAAGGAAAAAAGAGTCCACAGAAGCATCCAAAGCCTGGGGCATACAGAGAGACCTGACAAAAATTAAGCCGAAAACTTAATTTTCAGAAGGGTAAGAGCTTTCTGCTAAGGTTCCCTCTCCCTCCTCCTTTTCGTTTTCCTTCATGTTTCATGCCACATTCTTGAGATTTCAATATAGATACACATGTGCTATTAAATAACAGCCAATAGAGGGTCAGCTTCCCTTACACACACCCAGGGTCTGCCACACTAAGATCCTGTTTGGAACCATCTCAAAACTCAATTTTTACAAGCTTTATAAGCATTTGTAGCTCAGCAGTATTAATTCCATTTCCAATTTTTTTTTGTTAATATAAGAAGAAATGGGAAACTAACCTAATTGGTTCTACTTATTTGGTTGTTTGCCAAACTGGTACCATGGACTGCATTGTCTCTACTCCAACAGCCACTAGAATCGAGGGCCTGAATGAGATGGAGATGCAGATCTTGAAAACATATTTTATACTCTACCTAATGTTCTAGAGGGGTCTAGAGGGGTCTAGAGGGGCTGTTCCTTTGGCTCTTCTAATCATTTTCTACCAGTTTCCCTTTGCTGATGAATTCCCCTAGGTGAAGGCCTTGTTTCTCTCCCTGGGTCTTGTCTAAGGTCATGAAAAGTTTCTGTCTTCCAAGTTGAGAAATATGAACCTCAGATCCTAGTGTTTGTTTCTGTCTGTTTCTGCTTCCTTCTCTTCCTCACTGGCCTCTACAAGAGCTTTTTGCTGTTGTTCATTTTGTTATCAAGTCTGGTTTCCTTCCACATTCAGCTTTGGCTCCTCTGTCTCCCTTGTGCCCACCCCCAGAGTGCCAGCACCCAGCGTATTTTCTCATATTATGTATAAGTAATGAACAATACTAGCCAATGAAAGGACCCAGAGTTTTAAAGATGTATCTGTGATTTGAACTTCTGCGTGTGCTGACCTGGCCACTCTATGAAATCAATACTACATACCTTTAAAGGGGGGAGGATTCGCTAATAAATTCTTGTGGGGAGGATTGGCATTTTCTCTTTCTTCTTGCAAAAATAATCCATGTTCTTTGTAGAAAAATGTACACTGTCATGGTAGGCTATCTTCCACAATGGAGCTTACTTGTGGTATATAATGGTAAATGAACAACATAGGCCACAAATTCTATTGTCCACATCATCACAAATATGTGGAAAAACACTGGCAGAAAACACATACAAATTTAATAGTAGCAGTCTCTGAGTGGAAAACTATAGGGGATGCTTTTTTATATGTTCTATAATTTTCATTTTTGCTGCTGTGAGTATTTATTACTTCCATAATTTTGAAGAGTAAATTTTTTCCAAAAGACTCATTTTGCAAAATTTTATGTTTAAAATTGCTGGCACTTGCACCAAGCCCACTCTCTGCCAGCCAGACCTGTGTCGGCAGATGTGTCACTGCTTCATGCCAGAGCTCTGAGGTGTTGAGACTCCTCAAGTGAAGAGATGGCAGCCAATTCTATCCCTACCCCATCCCAGTGTCTCTCTCCCTCTACTACCCTCCCCCTGGGGAAAGTTAAAGCACTCACTCAGCTCTTCGTTTTGTCATGTCAGTTTCACCAATCCTTCATTTTTTTCCATGCAAATAGTTACATGATATACGACTTTAGCCAAAGAAATTTCACATACCTTTTAATCCAATGCAGACCATGTGTGATTAATTATGCTCAAAAATCGGCTTCAGTGTGAGTGTCACTACATCTGGTCTGTCACTCACAATCTCACTCATGCTCTGGAATAGACCTTGCCGAAAGAATAAAACCATCACCTTCCAGAAGCTTCTGAAATTCGCCTGAGACACTGTGGCTTCACAAGGAGGAACTTTTAACTGGAAATCTTAAAATTCCAACCAAAGCCACAGTTTCCTTTTTTCAGATTCAACCTTTTAAAAGGAATTTGCAAGACGGTGACTGATCAAGCTGCCTGAAGCTTTGCTGATATGGAGGGTTCCTGCATCCCTGTTTGGAGTTGGGATTCCAGTACTACAGGTAAGCATCACCCCACCCGCTGCCCACTGCTGTTCCACAAGCTGTCCATTTGCACCCTCTGGACGGTCACTTCCCACCTTCTTGGTACAGCAATTGCTGTTGCCCACTATCAATTTTGGCTTTGCTTTTAGTGTTGATCTGATTTCTAAATCACATTTAGATCCTCTGACTCGAGCCAAATGAACCTTCTCTTCCTTCTCACCTTCAGCATTAACCCATGTTCTGTCTTCCATCTCCTTTTCTTCCATGACCTTGAATGCTTTGTTCCCCCTCTCCCCGTGCTAGCTGCCCAGAGCATGGAGTCTCATTCTCCACTGTGACGGCAACAGGATCAGATCCCATCCCTTCCACTGCAGATTCTCCCCTTGGAGCAAAACACCAGGCCTACACCATCCGCAGAGAGTGGGATTACCATCAACTATTTGCTGAGGAGGTCTGGGCCACTGGCTTGGATGAGCTTCCCAGACAGCTATCACCACCCACGACATCATTCCTCCAACCCAATCATTTTTGTATAAACTAAGGGCCAGTGTGATTCTTGATGCTCTGAGGGATCAATTAGAATTACATAAATGAACTTTCTATGGATTATCCTGTCCAATATAATAAAGTTAATTAAAGTATTCAGTTCCTTGGTGGCTGGCACTGGTCATACATTGCATGCACAGGTAGCTACTGGCTCTGACTCTGGACAGCACAGATGGAGAACACATCCATCAACACAGAAAGGTCTCCTGAAACAGCCCCCACGCCATTTACATCACACAACTCTCCATCCCACAGTACTGAATAATACAAGTTGTCAAAGACTTGCACCTCTCGTCCACATACATATTTTATCAGGAGTTCCTCAGAGACTGGGTAGAATACAAGCACAGAGAGAATTCAGGTGTTTTGAAGTGGCCTTTGGGGAGAGCTATTTTCCCAGCCTCTGGGTTAGCATCTGACTCTTACTCACTGCTCAATGCCTGCTTCCCTGTCTCAGAAGGTTCCTTTAAAATCTATTATCATTTTCTTTGCATGAAGTCAAGGAGCCTTCCTGAATCCAAGATATTTATATGAACAACAAAGCGAATGCTAGCAGCAAAAAGCTCACCCCTGGCCCTTTCCATAAATCACTGGATGAAAGTCCTGCGCATTTGTGTCCCAAGGCCTTCCTAACACTGCTCTCCAGTCACAGTGATGATGCTGACAAAGCACTAAGATTAGATTGGGTTACTACGGTTTCCGTAGCACAAGTCTTCTTACCCAGCAAGGACACCAGCTGGAGATTGGAGTGCTTTTTTTTTTTTTTTTTTTTTGAAATCTAAGATTAAAATAATCCGACTATTTAATACTTTTAGCAGCCAGCCCTTCCCCTCCCCCAGCAATTTGTCTTGGTAAACATTCTTCAAAGCTGACATTCCTGGGAGAATGATGCAATTTATAGATGAGACATCCTGTATGCGTGAGTAACAGCTATGCACCCGGCTTCAGGGGCCCACAACAATCATGTGTGGGAGGTGTTTGCTTTCCTTTCTCCTTCCTCTTCCTCTCTTCTGGAAGAAAATGATTACCCCTTACCTTATGTAGCAGAAATATTACAGGCGTGCTTATGGCTTAGTGCAGACCTAAGTTTCTATTCCAATTTCAGGAGCACCTCAGGCAGGGAGATCCAGCAAACCACCTCTGGCTTGTGGCCAAGTACAGGCAGCACAGTCAACGGACACTGCGGGCTCTTCCTCTGTGTGACATGATTTCTCAACTATTGTAACTGCTTCTTTGTGTGTCTGCCAAATGTGCCAGCCACACTCCCCTAAACTCTGGTGAGCTCCGTAGGTCACACACCTTCACTATCTTACTCCCACCAGGGATTGGCTCAGTTTTCCCTGATCTCACATCAACCTGAGCCCTCAGCCACCACCAGCTCCTCTTCGCTCCCACCTTCTAAGACCACTCTTCCCACATGTGCTTTCCAGGTGTGAGAGCTGCCTTGGCTTCAGTAAACCTGAAGAAACCAACTGGGAAGGTGAGTGTCCATCTGCATCCCACTGGACCATCCAGGAGCCATAACTGATATCTGCTGGTTGTCCCAGCCATGTCTCCAGTAGCTTCAGAAGGTTCCTCTGAACCTGCTTGCCTCTAAATAACTCAAGGGATAAGTCTGRGGCCCAAGTGAACCTTGAAGAGAAATAAACTACATGGGGAAGAAATTTAGAAAGGTGCCCTAGGACGTGGTAAGCCAGGACCCTTTTGAGCAGATGAGAATTCTCAGGTCTACAGAAAGAGTGAAGAGTGACGTCCATCCTGCTGAGGGAGCTCCTGATCCCTCCAAAAGGACACTCCCATCAGCCCCACACCCCCAGCACACATCTGGCCTTTTCCTGAGGCCAGACGGGTAGATCTCATAGGTTCAGCTCCACAGAGACACGTGGTTATCAGTGTGGGACGGCGGTACACTTGAGAACGCTTGGGCCCGGCAGAATGACGTTCCCAGTTTCAACTCCACTGTTCACCTTCCACCAGTGGCTCAGTTGCTTTCCTGAAATGAATCTGGCAGTGCCTCTTCATAGGAATTACAAGATAACCATGACAAACCTTAAGCCAGCATTTGGCAAGAAAAAGCTCTGATGACTTGGTTGTTTTTTTTAGATTTTAAATGGAATCCTGTCCCTAAAGTCATAATATTATGACTGATGCTTCAAAGAAACTTTGCCTGGATAGGTTTTAAAAAGTAGASAAGGTTTCCAGGAAGGAATATTTTCTTCTTGTCCACAGTATACCTGGTCTGTGATATCCTCATAAGTGCAGGGAAAGCAATACTTTGGAACATACCCAAATCTAGGTTCTCCTGGTCCTCATGTTCACTCGGTTGAACCTCCAGGTTTTTGACACACTAAGAAAGATAAAGTCAATGAGGTATTATTATTATTATATATATATAATGCTATACTTAATGTTTTTTTATTTTTGTAAATTAGAAAAACAATCTCGGGAAGCATCAGTAAAAACATGCTACATGAATCGCATCATGTAAACAGAAAACTAGTCCTGTTCATAATTAATATTATTTAAGAACTAAAAATAAAAAAGAGATCTGCCCTAAGCAGAAATACACCTGAAAACTGTCCATAGGTAAAACTTATTATTGGCCGATAGCCATATATATCAAACTTTAAGTAAAATTTGTTTTGGAAAATGAATTCAATCATCTTGCATTTACAAAAACCCAGAAGATAGCAAAGTTTAGTTGTAAAGGGTAGAGATTGAGAATCTGATAAAGGAAACTGGATTTCAAATTATTCTAAAAGTGGCTTTAGGCACATGCCTGTTTGTTGAATTTATTTCTATTTTTATGACAACTAGATCTTCATTCCATTTTAACTCTGGATAGATGTACACACACACACAAAAAAAAGGGAAGCAGGGAATCATTCATTACCTTTACATCCTCCTTTTCAGTTGGCGATCTGCTGGAACCCACATTCTTAATCTCTGCAAAAGGAATAATTCTCATCAAGATCTGCTGATTAGAACTTGTTGGTTAAAAAAAAAAAAAAGAAGAAGAAAGAAAAAAATAAACTAGATAACAAATATAATAAATGAGTGCCAGGAGCTGTCTGTAGTGCTAGCTAAGTTTGTTTGTTTGTTTGTTTTTTAGATAAAGCTTCTTTAAAATCCTCTCTCCCCAGAGTAGACTACCCTATCACCTGACTACTCACTCTCTGGTATTTGTGCAGATCAAAATGTAAACAATCCCAGGAGCTTTCACAGGAAATCCTGGGGGGAAAGAAGGATCATTAAATAAATAAATGCCTTTGGTGCCAGAGGAAGGCTGCTCACTACCGAAGGCTCTTCAAAATAGCCCAGATTGCCAGGCGGGTGGCTCGCACACGTAAAGCCAGCAGCTCGGGAGGCTGAGACAGGAGGATAGCAAACTGAATGCCAGCCTCAGTAACAGAGAAGTGCTAAGTAACTCAATGAGACCCTGTCTCTAAATAAAATATAAAATAGGCCTGAGGATGTGGCTCAGTGGTCGAATGCCCTGAGTTCAATCCCCAGTATCCCCCTCCAAAAAATAGCACAGATTAAGGACGTGACTTGTACCCACCTGAGGAAATCCCACTCATCTATTTCCTCAAACACCACAGATTTCAATGTCTCAGGAGAACTTTCAAAAGAGCATTATTCATTCCAGAAGAGGTCTGGCTTTTCATGGCTCAGTGCTGAGAGCAGAACACTCCAGTGCAGCCCCCAGCTCCAGCCTCAGCCAGACGCCGGGGCCACCCTGAGCTGAGCTGAGCAGTGTCCAGACCTAAGCACCCCAGGAGTCCTCTCTCTGTAAAGGTTTTCCTGGAAACCGTGGTGGTCAGGATGTTCTGGGATGTACAGGAAGGTCCATTTAAGGGGWCGTTTCTCTCTGTGGCTTGACTGATTGGTTCTCTTCCCAAATACTCAGTTGCCTGGAAACAAGAGCCACTACTGTCGAAATAACCCCCGGGAGCACGTTTGGTTGTGGGGAAAATAAGTGTTGACATCCCTAGCAGGGGCAGATGGCTGAAAACCTTCGATCTGAATTTGTATAAATACACAACACTGTGGAGCCTGAGGCTCTTTGCTGGAATCTCACCTTCTGGTCACCAAGGTCCTACAAGATGCAAGTCCTGATGAAATACCAACAGTTTTCCTAGAAAATGTATCAACTAGACTTTCCCAACTCTACTACTCCTACTGATTTCAGTTCCCTAATGCCTCAAACCTCCAAGTAGATTTACTCAAGCTCTTCCTACAGCCAGGAGTTTCCATCCATTCTGTTTAGAAAAGGGATATAAGGCTTCATTTASATGGCTCTCCATGACAAGTCATAAATAACAAGGGTCATAAATGACAAAGGTGGAGTTACTCATTACTTAATGAGACAGGATGGAGCAGAAGGCTACAATTCCACTTATCATATTTTTTTGTTGTTGTTGTTTTTGTTTGTTTGTTTTTAAGTCTGCTTAACAGCTGGACGTGCTGATGCATGCCTGTAATCACAGTTATTTGGGAGGCTGAGGCAGGAAGATCACAATTTTGAGGACAGTCTGGGCAAGTTAGCAAGATCCTGTTTCAAAATAAAAAATAAAAATGGTCGGGAGATATAGCTTAGTGGTAAGAATGCTTAACAAAAATTTTTAATTTGTTTTATATCAAGAGATTCCTCAGAAAATTGGGAATGGAATCACCATTTGACCCAGCTATCCCACTCTTTGGTTTATACCCAAAGGACTTAAAATCAGCMTACTATAGTGACACAGCCACATCAATGTTTATAGCAACTCAATTCACAGTAGCTAGACCATGGAACAACCTAGGTGTCCCTCAATAGATGCATGGATTAAAAAAAATGTGCTATATATACTCAATGAAATATTACTCAGCTTTAARGAAGAGTAAAATTATGGCATTTGCCAATAAATGGTTGGAGTTGGATAATATCATGCTAAGAAAAATAAGCCAATCCCACAAAACCAAAGGCCAAATGTTTTCTCTAATATGCGGATGCTAATTCACAAAAGGGGGTGGGGGGCACTAGAGAAAAATAGAATTACCTTACATTAGGTAGAAGGAAGTGATGGGAGGGGCGGAGAGGGGTGTGGGGATAGGAAATGTAGTAGAATGAAACAGACATTATTACTTTATGTATATATGTGACTGCATGACCAATATGATTTTATAACATGTACACTCAGAAAAATGAGAAATTATATCCCATCTATGTATGATACATCAAAGTGTATAAATGCATTCTATTGTCATGTATAACTAATTAAAACAAATTTTAAAAATTAAAAAAAAAGAATACTACAATTACACTACAAAACAGCATATCACTCTTGAATTCATACTGTATATTAGCTTCCATGATAAAAAATAAAGATGTAATAACCCCGATATTCTATGGCTATGAGAACAATTCTCAACAGGGAGGGAGTCCCAGGGATAGGGCTGTGGCTGACACCCAGCCTGGACAGTCCATGTTACCCAGCATCCCTGCTAGCTTTTAGATGCACATCCCACACAAGGCCTCCAGGTGGCAGCAGAGTAACATCTGCGTAAACGACATTGCCAGGGATATGACTATCTAAATGGGCCAACTTCTTCATTTTTTAAAAGACTCCTTGTACATGCCAAAATCCAAAATGCAAGTTTAATGTTTTTTGTCCCGCTGAACAGATGCAGAATACTAATGTGAATCGCCTAGAATGGCATTCACCATATTTTAGGCCTATAGCAGAGGTTTGGTCTTGAAACTCATATACTCACATTGTAAAAATTGGAGTAAGTAGAGATTAACTCCAAGGTGTTAAAAAGAAGGAGGGAAGGATAACCAGAACCAAAGTTTCAACAGATACATCTGCATTAGACACTGAGAGTCACACTTTTATTTTGCCCATTATAAGATATTTCTTTAAGATTTTTTTTTTTTTTTTTTTGCACAATGCACTTCTTTTTTAAATTTATTTATTCTTACATGGTGCTGAGGATCAAACCTAGTGCCTCACTTATGCTAAGCAAGCACCCTACCACTGAGCTACAATCTCAGCCCCCATTATAGGATATTTCTTTAAAGCCATCTCATACCATAAGCTCCTAAATGATCATTATACTTCATTTCTGAAAAAGTCCATACAGATAGCATTTATTTAGAATGGTACCCATTTATTCCAGCTTGTTTATGAAATGGTACCCATTTATTCCAGCTTGTTCACACCCAGTAGCTTAGGTTCAGTTTCCTCCCCTCTCCTGCCCCAAAAGGTTGCTGTGCTGATTACTAGACATTGCCATGCCTACATTTTTTTTCTTATCATCAACTGCAATTTTTTTTATTTTAAAGCAACTGCTACAAACTATATTAAAGCCAATAAATTTTCACAGAAAGTAGACTTTATTTTTAAAATAACTTACAAACCTTTGTGGCAATGTGCAGATTCAGAATAATAATATATCTTTAATTAATCTAGGACTAAGCAGAACCATATCTTAGACATTTCAAATTTAGCACTCATTTTACCAGAGTTTAATTAAATTACTCCAGGAGAGTTTCTGCTAAATTAGTGGGATCCGTTTACACCAACTCAAGAACCACCAATTGCATAGTGCAATTAAACCACTCATTGCTATAGCAACCTTCAGCAGATAATGGTATCAGTAACTCTAGCTATTCTGTGTTCAAGGCCTATTAATCTTGCCTTGGAGGCCCACCCAAAAGGAAGGATTACGCCTCTAAATCAGACTTACAAAACTTGATAAACATGTTTTTTTATTGCCAAATTATAATAGAACAAGAGCTAATCTCCAGTACTTATGTTCACTAGTAACACAGCATTAGCAAACAGGTTTTTTTTTTTTTTAATCAGGGTTAAGTAGCTGCAAGATTAATATCAATGTGTCATTAAGAAGCAGATTTGTCTAAAACAATCTCAACTCTGTTCACAAGTTTTACTGTCTCCTTTTGCAAAATGGAACCAAGTGTCTAAGCTTAGGCAAAGAAAAAGCTTACACCAAAGACAGKATGCTCCACATTTTCCTTTAATTGCCATTTGGCTGTGCCATCCGACTCCTTCCCCAGGAAGGAGGAGGAGAAGAATCCTAATCAGAGCCAGCCAGACCACCAATGCTGCCCTGCCCTCAGGTTCAACTGTCCACAACCAAGTCCACGCCTGGCTTCAATCTGCAGAACAGCATCAACAACGCAGCTGGAAAACAAGGGTCATGCTCTCCATTTGCTCAACCCACCGCATGAATGCCAAAAAAAAAAAAAAAATACCCTGAGACTGTTTACAGCAGGCTCTGGGTACCCCTTTGGCAATACACTGGGAACAGTTCACAGTCTTTGAATGACTCATTTTCTCCCAATAGGCTATGAATTCCAGGAGGGCTGGGACCAAATTGATTTTGGCCCAACATCTGTATCTCCATCTTGGCACATTCTAGGTGCCAAACAAATAAATGCTTCTCTCCTGCACCAACACCTATGAGGCTCAATATATACAGATGTGGTATATCATGAGGCAAGCTGCAGAGCAGAACAGGCAGGGGAAAGCTGCTTACTTTTTGACTCACCGATTCAACACTCTCAATGCTAGCTCTGTTTTATTACAACTAGAACTATTTTATTAGTGACCAGATAGATGAGTGACTTCCCTTGCTGTCTTCCCGCCCTACCAGCTGTCAGTCCCTTGGTGCCTTGGTGCCTCATAGCAAGTACTTCACCTCCATGTTGCTACAACGTGTTACCCTAGTGTGCACACCCAATTCACAACTGCCAGAGAGCCAAAACTGCAAAGAGAACAAACGCTCCTAATTCAGCGACAATTATAACACTTGAACTTTTGTCCCAACATTCTAATTGATGTTGGTCCAATTTTTGTATCTGCTGCTTAGTACATACTAGGTGCTTTTTCCTAAAAGTGGGAGTACTAATGARCACTTTAATTTTGCCTGCCCAGGAT